TTCTTAGATTTCTTTTTTAACTCTGTTTATCTTGAACGCTTAATTTTTACCTCTTCTGTTCGAGAACTTATCATTGCTTAATTTTTTAATATAATTCTTATCTTTTGGCCTGATTATATTACCTTTTTGATAACTGACAAAAAGGGGGAGAAAGTAAGATATTGTCAATAATGGTTTACCGAGACAAAAGTCTCAAACATTCTAAATTACTTAACCTCTACTTTGTGAGAATATTTGAACAGGGTGAGAAAGTACAAACTCTGATAGAAGATGCAGCTACAGGGTGAGAAAGTACAAACTCTGATAGAAGATGCAACTAAATTCTGATGCTCAAGGAACTTAAGGGAGGTAATAAACTCAGGGGGAGTTTCTCTTAAACCTTATGTTCTTTATTTTTAATTGAAAAATCTAGTTTTTGTCATCATCAAAAAGGGGGAGATTGTTAGAACATAGTTTGATTCTACAACCCTTAGTTAGAGTTTTGATGATAACAAATACAAAGAATAAATAATAAATACAAAGAACAAATATGCACCATAAAAATTAGGTTTTTATGTATGCAGAAGTTCTGACCATATCAGTATCAGAAGATAAGCAATAAGAGCTTCACGCTGAAGTAATCAGAACATGCGTTAAAGATTGATGACCAGAACCTGCTCTTAATCAAAGTAAACTCTGATTCTGAACAAGAACATACCAATCCAAGTCATCAATATTCTGAAGCATCATCAGCAGGCAAGGGGATAAGATTCTGAAGCGTTCCTGATCATTTATAACAGCATCAATTCCAACGGCTTCTCTCAGACAGGATCTTCTCCAAATGGAAAGTGTGTTAATGACATTAAACATACTTTATGGTCAACCTCATTCCACTGCCTATATAAACAAAGTCATCATTCAAAATCAAGGACGATTTTGCTACATTACCACTCACGCATATTCAAAGCTTCAAGCAATATCATTTACATTTCCAAGCTATAATCCTGTGTAATTTATCACAGTTGTGATAAACAGTTTTTGTAATAAAAACAACAACACATATCTTGTATAATTGTATTGAAACAGTGTTCCTTGAGATTAACCGAACTGCGGTTGTACTCAAGAAGACTTTAATAGTTGTTAAAGTAGCTATTGTAATCTTTTTGAGATTAGTGAATTAAGACCTCGTTGGAGAGAGGCGAAATCACCTTGACGGATGGACTGGAGTAGTTTGAGATCAAACCAACCAGGATAAAAATACTGTGTCATTACGCTTTTGATTTCAAGTTTGTCAATTCAACCCCCCCTTCTTGTGTTTTTCACATATTCAAAAGCGACATTATTCTTTGCGACCACCTCAAACCATGCTCATTCTTTAAAACTGATCAGGTAAGGTGTGCAGTAAACCACCTAGACACCAAAGGCAAGAAACACATGAGAGTCCCTCGCTTCCTCATAGTGTGAGTATGAAGTGAGTGCAAAACGTCTCCAAGAAATATAGGTACAGGGTTACGAGTAAAGAAAATTTTGACAATATTCACATCTATGAGTTGGTCAGGGTTAGGAAAAAGCACCAACCCATAGATTATAAGGGCCAAGACTTCTTCAAAAGCTTGTAAGTCCATAGAATCCAAAAACAAACAAGCCTTCTCCATCAAGAATTTATCCAAAAAGCCTTTGACCCCACTTCTTGTCTCCCAATTAGCTACAATGTTAGAACTCTTCAAATGTAAGGCCTTGGCAATAAATTCAGGCTTTGGAGTTTCCTCTAAACCGATGAATGGTATTTGATCAAGAACGGATACTCCTAGTAGTTGAGAGAATTCTTCTATTGTAGGCACCAATTGATAATCGGGAAAGGTGAAACAATGATGTACAGGGTCAAAGAATTGAAAGAGCACCCTTATCATGTCCTATTCAAAGCTTGAGGTAACCATATTGAGAAGTTAACAATTTCTTTTGGTGAACAGATAATTTTCAAGAACCCTTGATGCTAAATATTTGACTTGAGGAGGCATCCTTACGAAGTTGATTCAGATGGTATTTCTGTGAGTGGAAGCTATATCATACAAAACAAAACAAAGATAAATCCCTAGGTACTTGAAATGGTGTGTGAAAATGCTATGTCATAATATCATGATGTTTATGAATAAAAAATCACACATAAACAAAACACACAAGGCCTTAGGTTTAGGCTTTCATGAGGTTTATAGGTAAGTATCCTCTTGAAGTTTAGTTGGTTCAACCTGTCCTAAAAGAAGTAACCGGGTTCTAGGAATCTCAATATCACTGATCTTTCTTCATTGGGTATTGTTTTAGCTCAAGCATAAAAACTACGACCAAAATATCCCGAAAGTACGATCTCAATTAGTGTAGTATCGAGTATCAACTGACTTTAGTCTTGCACCAAATCCAGCTATCTCACTACTTTCTAATGGCCAAGTTGTTCAACTGAGGTTATACAGTTAGTAAGTGCTTCATGACACCACACAGCGGTCCCGTATTCTCCTTGACTACATTCAAGGAACACCGGTAACAACAAATATGTCACACTAACATAGCCATTGCTTCAACCATATCGGTATTACGCCATATAGTCCCCACAATCTACCGCTACTTACCTAATATGCCCTAAATATGGGTATATGATCTATACAAGAAATAAACCCAAGCATAACCCACAAATGTAAAGCCAACAAGGAAAACAAATAAAGTAAATAAAGGTTATCTAGCTCTTAAGCTAAACCCACTTTTAGTTTTCTCCCCAACATAGACGCCAATTCTGAGATACGGTGGGATAACTTACTTGGGTGTTATGCGTTTTATCGCAAATGTTGCAGATAGCAAGAGTTACCACCGACTTTTCTTTTATCCAATAACAAAAATGGTGAAAAGAATAGGAAAGACCTTTTGAGAATTTTCTTGAGTTCGGGGGGCAGGTTATGAAAAGGGAAGGTGTTAGCACACTTTTCATCTGTAGTTATCTACTGGCTCTTAATTGCTAGCTCACTTTGAAATGCCTTTGTGATTGTGTAAGTTTTAAGATATTTTGAAAATGCCTAAGTTTGGAAAACTTTGCAATGATTCTCGTATCGTTGAGAATGTATACAAAGTGTTGGTTTTGAAAATATTTGTTAAAAGGGAGTGTTTAGAAAGATGTTTTGAAGATGCCAATGTAAGGCAATTTTGTAATGATTCTAGTATCGTTGAGAATGTATACAAAATGTTTGTTTGAAAATTGTTTTGAAAGTGTGAAGTGTGGAAATGGTTTTTAGTTTGTGAGCAAGCAATTACGAGCAATCTACCTACTCAAAAAGTCTTTATTCTTTTGCTCCTCCTTTTGATAGTATTATTTTACCCTTGATTGGTAGAAAGCAATATCATTGGATGTGAGGGAGGAGCGTGGGTCATCATACAGTTATAGAAGGCAACTTGTAAGATGTTTTAACAATTTATCGTAAGGGACTAAGATCGTTTATCAAAGGCAACATTGAAGTGTAATCGAGGGACCACGACCTTTTAATCGAGGGTCTTTTGCTAAAATGTCTCACATTCGAGTGACATGACTGCTTTAATCTGAGGCAACAAGTATGGCTTACCCTAGAGGTGCATGTGTGCAAAGTGTGTTTGATTCAATTATTTTATATTGGATTAGGGTTGTCTAATGTTTAATTTTTAATCTTGCCATACAAAGCCCCAATTACTAGCAATAATAAGGAAAGCGATAAATTGCGGAATTTAAATGTCCTATGCTATTACAACGCTTCGGGAATGGGAGATACAATTTTGTTCAATAGGGGAAGAAATAAATAAATCCCTAGTTACTATTACAAACCATTAAATATGAATTACAACAATAATTATGCACAAAATATAGAGATGAAGAAGAAATTGCTTTTAGGGTTTTTGATAGAAAAAAGTTTAATGTTAACCTAAATAAATTAATTAAATCTTATTACAAGAAAAATTAATTAATTATATAATCAAAACTTAAAATTTAAGTTAATTAAAAATCTAAGTCTAATTTAATTTGTTTAGAAAATAATTTTTGTTAATGTAGAAAAGAAAATGTTTTATGATGTAGAAGAACTAATAAAATCTAATTTAGTCAAAAAAGAAACAAAGTATTACAATATTTTTAATTTAAGAATATATATATATATATATATATATATATATATATATATATATATATATATATATATATATATATATATATATATATATATATATATATATATATATATATATATATATATATATATATATATTCAGTTTGAATAAGATGAATAAAGAAATAAAAAAAAAGAAGGTATAAGGAATATGAAAATATTGGGTTGGAGGTTAAAAAGTAAAAATTGGGGTTAATAATTAGTAAAAAGGCTCAAGTCTATTTTTGTTTGAAATCAGAAAACAAAAACAAAAAAGTTAGTAAACAAATTCACAAAATACATACTTATTGAATGTGAAATATTTGATTTATTATTTTATTCTATATTTAATTTAAAAATGATAGAGTGATATCTTATTGTCATGATGATTTAATGTTTTTATATTGATATAAAACTGACGGAGGAAATTATTGTTCTCTCAATGTTCATGAGGAGATATCTAAAAATTTCTTGTATGATAAATTAGGTATTTTTAGACTTAGACTTTCATCTTAGAGAGTTTTAGTTTGGCCCCCTCATTCTTATCCTTTATTCCTCTTTAGTTTTATTAGATTCTAGCTTTAGAAAAAGAAAAGGAGATGAAAGAATGATCTTTCACCCATATGAAAAAAAAGATAAATATAAGAAAAAATGACATAAAATAAGTTTGAATGGTAATCACTTAATTATTATAATGGATAATTTAAAGACATATAAAAAGTTTATAGACTTTTTGACAAAAATAAACATTAATTAATTAAAAAACATCCTTAATTCTATTGAATTTTATTCTGGAATTACATATTTAAAAGTAATTTGGAGATGATTATATCATGCATCTCTTATTAAAAAAATGAAAATATTACTAAATTAGAAAGCATTTTTAATCTTCATTGGATGACGCAATTTGCACATTGCTTTTAAGGAAATCTCTTTTTCCAAAGTAACTCCTTTTTTTTTGCCCATGTCAATTTTTTCTTTACCTATACGTTTCCACTCAAAACACTGGATCAATAAACCTAAAGTTACACTCATTGTGCGATGAGCCAAATTTTCTCCTGGACAAGCCCTTCTTCCCATTCCAAATGAAAGTAGTTTATTTGTCTCACCTTCTTTCTCAAATCTCTCAGGCTTAAAACATATAGGATCAATCCACAAATTTGGATCTCTATGAATGGCCCATGCATTGACCATTAAAATTGTGTTTTGTGGGATATTGTATTTTTCTATTGTAAAATCTTTTGAAGAAAAATGAGGCAATAATAGTGGAGCAGCTGGATGTAATCGGAGACTCTCATAAACAATATTTTGAAGATAAGAAAGTTTTGAAATATCATGTTCATTTACTAAGTGGTCTTGTCCAACGTGAGTGTCCAACTCATCTTTTGCCTTCTTTAATATATTTGGACTATTTAATAAATTGGTCATAGCCCATTCTAAAGTTATAGATGATGTGTCAATTCCTGCAAGAAGCATAACCTACAAACATTCAACAAAATGTCAATATCACTTCAAAATTTAGAAAAACATTTTTGTTTTCTTTTATGCCTTTATAAATCAATTTTAACAAATCATTAACAAATCTCTATTGGCCTAGATTGGAAGCATGTACTTACAATTGTGTGTGTCAGTTTATAGTGATTATTACTACTTTGACAAAAATTATTGTAACTACTTACCATGATAAGTCCTTTGATGATTTGGTCTGTGTAATATTCAGGTTGTGACTGTTGTTGTTTTAAGAGATGATCTAACATAGTATTAGTGGTCCTCTTTTCAAATCTATGTTCATCAATTAGTCTTTGTAAAAATGAATCTGCTCTCTTACTTATCCTCTTAAGACTCTTCTCCAAACCATCAAAATCAAACCACCTTAAAAACCCTAAAAAATCACTAATGTTGGTTGCTCCTCCTAAACTCAGAATCTCTTTCATTATCTCTCTAAACAACCTTGCTTCCTCAACATCACTCACATCACAATCATCGCCATAATATCGTTTCCCTGACATCATTCTCATGACTATGTTGAATGTCAATTCTGAAAACATTGGCGCAAGTTCCACCTCTGAAAAATCATGATATGAAACGCTTGCTAGCTTTTTTATAAGTCTCATTATCTCGTCTCTTCGTATTTCCAAGAAGGAATTTAAACGATTAGATGAGAGTACCTCGGTTGTTATTATACGACGAAGATTGCGCCAATGGTCACCATATGATGCTTGTATTAATGTGGTGTAGTTGTAGTTGATATATTTTCCGAATAAGAATTGAGGTCGATTCGCTAAAACGATGTCATGTTTGGTAAAAAATTCTTGTGCTGTTTTTAACGAAGAAACAACAATGACAAGACGAGAACCTAACCAAAGAGAAAAGATTTGGCCATGTTTTTGTGATATAGTTTGGAAAGTATGGTGGATGGGTTTTTTTAGTTGATGAAGGTTTCCAATTATTAGAAGAAACGGTGGACCCGGTGGAAGGTTCTTGAATCTTGTTGTGTAAAACAAGAGCTTCAGTGTGATGATAAGAAAAAAGAGAGAGAGATAAGGGTGAGAAAGAAAGCGGTCATTTTTATTGAGTTTGCAAGAAAGGGTTGAGATTGTTAGAAAGGAATGTGAGTGGCGATATATATATAGTGTCACTTGTAAAAGTAATGGTGTATTTGATTGTGTAGGAGTTGACATATTAATAATATTTGATTGGATAAATATGTATGATAGATTTTTTAACTTTTTATTCTTCTATTTTGATATTTTTTTTTACTTTTGCGTCTTATATAAAAATAATTAATTTTTTAGTTTTTCTATTTTTTTTTCTGTCCCTTTAGTTATTCTAGAAGTATATATACATAAATATTTTTGTTTTACATTTATATATATATATATATATATATATATATATATATATATATATATATATATATATATATATATATATATATATATATATATATATATATATATATATATATATATATATATATATATATATATATATTTCAAACCACAAGTATTTATATTTATATATATATATATGGTAAGAACTAAATGACACCAAGGTATAATAAATTAAACCTTTAATTTTGATCTTTGTCTTTAAAATATCAAATAATTTTAATTGATATTAAATTTTATAGATATGATCTATTTGATAATAACTTTCAATTCAATCATCAATTTTGTTCTAGAGATATACAATAAAGAATTATCAAAGGTGTCATGTTATTAAATTTGACACCTTGTGTCATTTAATCTTTATCCACACACACACACATATACATACATATATATATATATATATATATATATATATATATATATATATATATATATATATATATATATATATATATATATATATATTTGATATATTATGTTAAAATTTATAATTTAATATGTTGTCCCTAAAATTAAAACTTTTAACTTTGTCCCTGCCAAAGGTAAAACTCCTTGGCAAAAAAATTTATGTAGCTAGGGGTAAATCCTTTGCAATGCAAAATCTTAATAAAAAAATTAAATTAATTTTTTGAAGGGTAACTTTTTCTAAAAATATTTCAACTGTGTATTGCATGAGGTAACCCCCACATTTTTAAAAGACTTGTATTTTAAATTTATACATTACAAGTGGTATCTGTTTGCACACTTTAATTGCACGATAAATTTTACTTGGAAAGGGACTTGGTTAATTTAAAAGTCAGAATGGTAGACAAACATTAAGGAGACGTAATGTGTTGTAGGGATTACCCTACATAATTTTCACGACTATGCGTTGTCAGGGGTTACCCCCTGCTCAATTTTATCGTTATTTTATCATTTAAAATAGATAAAATGCCACTAACTATTCTCTAGTTTTTATTTATGTGTGTATTTTTATTCTGACGTTTTCTCTTACGAAATATCATTTATGTTAGAAGTAATTGATATTCAGAAGCAATATTTTAACACAGAAGTAGAAATTTCTTAGGATGTTGTTCTAGAAGTTGTGTTGCTTAACTTATGGAATTCAACTTTGTTTTGTTAGCTTGTTTTAATAGTTCCTGTGTGGCATAGTTTTCTTACGTGTCATTTTTATTTTATTGTATTTAAACACCATAGTGTAATTACTTTTATAAGTAAGTAGTGAATGAGTTTTCTATCTCTTCAAAAGTTTGTTATAATTGTTTTCTTACTCCACTCTTTCACTCCCTTCTTCCATCTTAATCTTCATTTTCAACCTTGTTCTCAAAAAATTGTTATCTAGAGCTTTGGCTCGATTCACAAAGAGATATGAGTGTACGGGATTCGTGTGTAATTGATTTTGTTTTTCTTGAATTTGCATTGAATTTACTATCGGAATCATAACAGAATTGCATTTCTTGATTTTGTCGGATCGAAAAACACACTTCTTTGGTGAGATATGAGATCTAAGTGAGTTTTAGTGCACAAGAACGAAGATGTACGGCGTAAATAGTTTGAATACCAAGATTCTAGTGTTTGATGAAAAAATTGGAATCATTGGATGATTCAAATACGTGTGATGTTCTGTTCTCAAGACATTCTTGATCTCGTCATCGACTGTTACATTCTAGTTGAAACATATGCGATAGAGGATCATAGAAACACAAAAATAGATACGAGGACGAAAAATCAGAAAGTGTTGTTCTATATCCATCAGTGTGTAGAAGTGGATGTGTTTGAGAAAATCGTTGATTCAACGATGGTGAAGGTTACGTGGGATATACTGACACTATGCTACAATAGTGATACATCAATAAAGAAGGTGAAGTTTTAATCTCTATGTTATAAGTATGAGAGTCTCGACATGAAGAATAATGAAAAGGTACCAGATTATATCTCTATAGTTATTCCTATCACAAATGAGATGAAATTATATGGAGAAACTTTTTCTAAACAGGTAATCATTGAGAAGGTATTAATATCTCTTACTGCCCAATTAGATTACATTGTTGTAGCAATTGAACACTCTAAGAATCTTAGTACCATGAGAATTAAAGAGCTGCATAGTAGTCTATAGGGGCACGAGTTGTGTTTGATAGATCGAACCTCAATATGAGAGGTAGAGTAGGCTCTGAGGGTGTCTTCTGGCAAGAAAAGTCAGATGTATTCTTGCTCAGAAGTGTAACACCCCATTTTTTTATTTAAATTATTTTTAATTAAATAATTATGCGATATAGTGCTTTTGTGTGTTTTAATGAATACCATAATGAGTGGTGATGCTTTGGAGATAAGTGGTTATCTTAAAAATTATAGATAATTAAGCTTGGGGGTGTATGACTAATGACATAGAGACATAAGGGTGCAGAGAGATGTCTAGTGTTTTAGTTTATTATTATTACAAGAATAACAAGAGTATTTCTTTTATAATTATAAACTAAAATAATTATTTAAATGGAGAAGGGTAATGTTGAAATTAAGATTTAAGGGTCTAGAGGTTAATATTGGGGAAACAAGGAAGTGAGAAGAACAGAACGTGAAAACTTATTGTGAAAAGAGAGAAGAGCAGAAGAGTGCACCTGAGGCTAGGACAAAGGAATTTGTTGTAAGAGTTTAGAATCGTGAATATAAGGTAAGGATGGGGCTCTAACTCTATATGGGAATGCATAATGATGGGTTATGGTAGTAATTAGGTATTCCATGGTTATGTATTCTTGCATCCTCGTGATTTATGTATGTGTGGTTGAATCTTGTTGATGAATCGTTGATATTTTGTGATTAATTGATGAAATTGATGAAGTGAATTGAGTAGTGATGTGTTTATTTCCCTTGATTTATGTATCATATGATATGATATGTTTTGAGATTGTTGTGGGTCAAAACTTGAGGCTTAGGGTTTTTTGCAAGACTAAAAAATAAGAGAGATTGCACAAAATCGCGTAGAAAAAGTGGTTTTCTAGGCTCTATTACGGCTCGTAATAGCTATTACAGGTGGACGTAATAACCCTTTATATTTTTGTACAAGAAACATGCGAAAAATGAAATTTAGGATTTTGAGCATTACGGGCCGTAATGGCCATTATGGGTGGCCGTAACAGCTATCAGGTTTTTGTAATGTGAAACCATTTCGACAATAACGTTTTAACCATAAGTCCAAATCAAGTACCGTTTGAAGCATTGGAAAGCTAACGCGATGAAATCTATTTTGGCGGAATAAAATAAATAAATAATTTTATTTTTCTAGTGTCTATACATTATGAATGTATAATGTATATGTTGACTTAATATTATGATGTATGCTATTATGATGAATTATGTTGATATGATGATACCATTGTTAAAACAAGATTTAAATATATGTTTAATCTCTAAGTTTTGATGATAACAATCATATATTTTATAATAATTAATTTTAGTTCTAATTGTTTCATTGAGTGTGCATATACAATATTAGAATTCTTGATAGTCTTAATCAAGATAACATTAGATTCACCTTATCACTCAGAAGAAGAACCATTGCGTTTTGTTTCTAAAGAAACATCAGTATTTCTATGGAATGCTTAATTTTAAACAAGAAAATAATCTTAATAAGTGTCCAAGAAGAAATAGTTTTTGATAAGTTGTTGCTTCAAGATCAGAAGTCAAGAGGATATAAGAAACAAGCTTCCAACACAAAATATCAGATGTCAAGACTAGTTCATTAGAAGATTTGTTGCTTACAAGTCTAAAGACAAACTCAAGATTCTGAATACATATAGAGAAAGCTTCTACTCCATGATCAGAATTCATGGAATATGCACCTTCATTCAACATCAAAAGTATTCCATCAGAAGAAAGGTTTAAATAAAAGAAGATCTTTTGGAATCATCTCTAATCAACATCTTAAAGTGGATCAGAAGACAAGATCAAAGGATGATATCTGTAACACCCTAATTCTACCCAAAAATTATATAAATAAATCAGAGTTATAAAATCATTCATGCAAACGAATCAAGATTCCACAAATTCATCATTAAAAACTCATTGCATTCATCGTAGATATATAACACTTTAAAACTTCGGATGAACCATCAGCATAATACAATAATTAAATAATTCAACAATCTAAAAATTTACGCAGTCGAATTCTTCAAAACAGCACATATTTAATAATAATCAACTTAAAGTTCAAAAACTGAATAATC